ACTTGGACTAGGTACCTACATGTGGCCTTTTTAAGAGGCTTCCTAGCTTCTGTACAGCATGGTAACTGAATTATAAGACTGACTATCCCCAAAGAGAAAGCCAAACAAAACTTGTATGTCCTTTTACTGTCAAGTCTTATACTACATTTTATTGACAGGAATTCATCAAGATGCCCATATTCAAAGGGATAGCAACTAGATTCCATCTTTTTTATTTTAATTTTTAAATTTTATTTATTTTACACCTTGGCTTCAGTTTCCCCTGTCTCCTCTCCTCCAAGTCCCTCCCCTGACCCCCTACCCCCTCAATCTTCTCCTTGATGGGAGATGGCACTCTGTAAATATGTTTCTCTTATTGGTTAATGAATAAAACACTGTTGGCCAATAGGAAGGCAAGATAGGCAGAACTAGGAGGCAAGGAAGATTCTGGGAGATGTAGGAGAGGAGTTAAGATGTAAGGACTTGAAAGAAGTCCGACCCTCTCTCCAGTAAGACAAAACCATGTGGAAACACTTAGATTAATAGAAATGGCTTAATATTTAAGACAGAGGTAGCCAATAAGAAATGCTAGTAACAGGCCAACAGCTTCATATCTAATACAGCATCTCTGTGTGTTTTTTGGGACTGACATGGCTCTGGGACCAGGCTAGCGGGAAAACTGCCCGTAATATCTCCTCATCCATTTCTATTCAAAAAAAGGTAGGCCTCCTATGGATATCAACAAAACATGGCATCTCAAGTTGAAGTAAGACTAAGCACCTCCCTGTTAGAAGCAAGAGGGTTTAGCCCACCTCATTTTTAGGCTCTGCTCTCCCAGGCGTGTGCCACTAGAACAGAAAACAGATAGTTACAATATAAAGAACCTTGAAGTGCTGGTACCTTTTTTTTTTAATTTTATTATTTTTTTTATTTTATTTTACATGTCGATCCCAATTCCTTCTCCCTCCCTCCCAAAGTGCTGGTATCTTAAGTAAAAGATGAGCTACTCCCAGTCAAGCAGTCCATTCAGTAACATTGGCCTTCCAAGTTCTCTGAAACATTAGGAATGACTGACCATTTCATTCATTTTATGTCAGAGCTGAGGTTCCAAGAGCTTCAGTGACTATCTGAGGTTAACAGTAACTCAGGAAGCAATAGATAGATCCAGCTCATTGTTTTCAAGGTTTGTGCTTTTCCATTACTTACGAAACTTGGAGCATAAAATTTTGCTGTTCTGTATTAAAAGCAGCAACTCTTTGTAGGCCATTACTTCCCTGTCAGCAGCACATAGACCCAGGTTCTGTCTCTTGAACACACAATCTACATAGACACCCTTGTTTATCTCAGAGCTACTTTTGCTATATCTCATGGCTATGCAAGAACAGTCTTTATATGGCAATAAAAATATCAGTTTTGATTACTTGATTACTGCAGTTGTTGAAAGCTACATACACCATTTTCAACCAGAGTCAACCAACAGAAATAGTGACATGACAAAATTTTGCTGATAATCTCATACCTTTATATAAAACTGTATTACAATCCACACACATTTTAATATACCACCAGACCTCACCATGATTGTGTTCTTCTTACATTAGCTCTAAGTGTTTTACTTATTGTTTCTAAGCAACCAAGTAAAATTGGCATCAGTTTATTAAAAGGAAGGAAAATAATTACTGCTTATCAATTTAGCACAGAGTGTTCCCAAGTAAGTATTGACTGAATGAAACCTAAATGGCAGATTTTTGCAAATGCAATTTTGCTTTTTTATTGTGTTGCAATAGCTTCCTATATTGCAGAGTTGCATACGTCAGGACAGAGATTTTCCAGTTCTATTTATGATATCAATAGGAGGTTTAATTAATCACCATAGTTATTGGTTTTCTCTTTTGAATTAAATTTTAATAAACCATCTGTGGGTAAAGGCAGAAAGCCTATCTCTAGAAACAATGCCTTGATATTTGGGACATAGGAGCAGCTGTGAGCTGTTATTTTTCTTTCCTTAATAGCTGAATGTCACATCCTGTAATTTGGCTTTCACACAGGATTCAGCCCCTTTCAAACTTGTATTTCATTAACTTATATGTTAACATTTTGCAGTTTTGTGGGTTTTTTTTTTTTTTTTTTTTTTTTTTAGTCGAGTTACCTTTGAAACTAAAAAAATAGAACCAATAGAAGCTCTGACAGCTTCACAGGACAATCTTCCTGGTCTTAGCATTACTAGTTCTCTTATATAAGACTACCCCCTCTCTTGGGCTCTGCCAAAATCAAGTCCTCTTACTAACTTGATTTCATTGCTCTTTTACCTCAGCATGGTATTAATAAAAACGAGTGGGTATAAAAAAAAATACATCCATATAGGCTTAGTTTGTGAATAAGTTAATTTACATTTGAATGAGTCTGTTTGTGTTTAATAGTGGGTGTTTATAGCCAGGTTGGGAAAAGTATGTGGGAAGGGATAGGGTAGGATAAGCCTAGTAAAGAATGAGAAAAACTAGAAGCGCCATAAAAATATCATTGTAACAAGACTGGGTTTATTTCTTTTCTGCTAAAATGCCCCCCTCCTGTTAATAAAAAATTCTAAATATAAGAAGTCATTATGGAAATATTTCATTTTACTTGCTAATAAATCAAACTTTCATCAAATCTTTTTTTACATTACAAATTGCTAGATCTAATATTTACATATTTAGTAAGAAGTTCAAAATAATTATGGAAACAAATAAATGTAATAATCTATTGTATGTTGTCAGCATCACTTTCTTCTCACTTCACATCATTGAATAGTACATCACAGTGTAATTCCTAGACCACTGAATAGTACATCACAGTGTAATTCCTAGACCACTGAATAGTACATCACAGTGTAATTCCTAGACCACTGAATAGTACATCACAGTGTAATTCCTAGACAAGTAGCATCAGCATCACCTGAGAGCGTGTTAGAAATCAAACGCTTATGTCCTATCCCAGCCTGCTTCATTGCAGATTCTAAGGAGGGCTCAGCCATCAGGGTTTCACGCTTGAAAGCCATACTCTCTAAAGTATGAAAAGATGGAAACTCTATCTTCTAATATGAAAATTTATTCTAAAACAGACTATCTTAGTTATCTTTTTATAACTAGGATGGAATAACCTGAGAAAAGCAATTTGAAGAGAGGAAAGATTCATTTTGAATCACTGGGTCAGTCTCTTGTCAGACATGGGACAAAGATGGAGAAATAGAATTGCTCACCTCAGGGAAGCTAGAGGGTGAAAGACAGAGAGTGAGCCTGGGGATAAGATACACTCCTTTGAAGGCACACACTTCCAGGAAGTCCCGGTGGGGTTTGAATGAGAATGGCCCCCATAGGCTTATAGATTTGAATGTTTGGTCACCAGGGAGAGGTACAATTTAAAAGGATTAGGAGGCATGGCCTTGTTTAAGGAAGTGTGTCACTAGAGGTGGACTCTGAGGTCTCAAAAGTCCAAAAGCTAGGCCTAGTGGCTCTCTCTTCCTGATGCCTGCAAATTCAAACGTAGAACTTTAGCTACTCCTCCAGCACTATGTCTACCTGCATATTACCATGCTCCCCACCATTATAGTGAACAAACTCTGAAACTGTTTGCAAGCTCCAATTAAATGCTTTCCTTTGTAAGAGTTCCCTGGTCATTTGTCTCTTTACAACCATAGAACAATGACTAAAAGAGTAGCCTTCTTGCTGTAGTTAGGCCTTACCTCCTAATAGTCCATTCGACTCAAATCTCATCAGTAAATTAATTCATTGATGGCATCAGCACCCTAATGGTCATTTACTGATTACTGAACATTGTTCTTAGGATTTACATATCCTTCAGTGAAGAAAAATACATTAGAAGAGATTTAGATTGCAAGTTTGTTAATTATAAAGATATAAAGTACTAAAAGGAAAAGTAGATAAAATCAGCTAATGCAATTATGAGAGAATTTTGTGTTTTCAAAAATAAAAATTAAAGGCCAAGTTCCAGATTATGTGATTATAGTAGCAGAAACAGCACAGCTTTTTGGTGTCCCTAAATCATTACATAAAACATAGGTTAACTATGTATTAGTGTTTGAAATCATGAACATAATTTACAATAAAATTAACTGATAAGATGCCCCTTAAACCCCCGAAGATAAGCAGAACAAATGACCAAAAATGTTAGTTCTCCCTGGTATTAGCTGCTGAGCAGAATATATCAGGAGCAAATTTGGTGGACCTTGGAATAAGTGAGTTTCAAAATAATAGGAGATCTCAGAAAGCAAGCTTCCATTTGTTTAGATTTTACACAGAAACAGCAAATGACAGAGATGCACTTGGTTCTGAGAGCTCAAAAATAACATTTGCAGGTAAAAATTAGCAACACAAAGGATCATGATCAAATTTTGTAATTTTCAATTACAAATTTTTATTATAACAAGGAACTAAGGAATGACCATGAAGGCACATGAGAAATGCATGTTCACAATAAGTAAGGTCTTAAATATATGTAACTGCTTCAAGAAGACAATAGAACACTTGAAAGAACAAACATGGGTCAAGACAAAAGTCAAAAATAAGGGAACAGGGGTATAAGGTCTTATTATGGACACTGATAAGAACATACTAAGACTTAAAAATTATAGAGGACATGTATAAGTGATTTGCATGTTTCTAAGAAGTTAATAAGTATTAATAATATTAAATTTCACTGAAATACTCCTTGAAAGACACCTTTAAAAAGGAAGAAGAGAAAAAGAACTAGATACTTCATTGATAAATGGCTTTGGGGAGAAATGGAAGTAGATAGTAAACTGTTTATGTAAGATATAGTCATATAGCTCTGAAGACATGGTCTAATGGCTGTTGGAAGTGAAATGCCTGGGAAGTGCCATTCACTGAAATGGGGTTTTGTTATATGATCCCAAAATGAACACATTGTAAAATACTGTTTTTTGTCCATGTTGGATTACTCTTAATATTTGCTAATCTGTAAAAGTTTTGATTCATTGCATTATATTCTCTTTCACTTCACAGTGAGAGACCTACCACCAATTTGTCTTGATGTTAGACAAAAACAGCGTATGTCTATGGATGCATTACCATCTGAAGTGAAGGTCCCAGCCCTTCCAGAACCTACCCTTCCTAGTCAACCCAAAAGTGTGAAAGACTTTGAGTAAGTTCCAACGCACTCTTTTGTGTAGACTGATAGTGATCTGCATGTCAGTACTTTACATAGCTTAACATCTTTACCTGAAAAATTGGCTGAACTTGTAGATTGTTATAAGATACCAGACAAAAGTGAAGACACAAAAACTTATCTCAAGTTGAAGCTATAAATAAATGTGTGAATAATGGATAGTAGATATGTTGTAAGAAAAGAAAGCAAGCACTAAGAGGATCTTAAGTCAGTATTGGCCCAAATGGGTGGCAATAAGAGAGTGAATTCTACCATTAAAACACAAACACACACACACACACACACACACACACAATTCATCTACTGTGTAACCATACTATAAAAGTGGTATCACCACTCAGAAAATCAAAATCCATAATTTGAAATGCAAAGGCAAGAATAAGTAGAGAGACTCAAGCTGTAAATTACAAACGCTCCAGAAGCTGGACTGTGAAGGGAAAGGGATGACTGAGTAAAGGCATATGCCAATGGTGAATTGTTCTAGCTGGACATGATGGTACATGTCAATAAATCTAGCACTCAGAAGCCTGAGGCAGGAGCACCCCAAATCTTAGACCAATGTGGACTACAGAACAAGACTCTCTTGAGGGAAAAAAATAGGTAAATGAAAAAAGTTAAAGCTGAATTAATATTTTAAAATAATTAAGAACTGTATACTTATATGCTATTTTATATCAGCTGTAACAAATTTATATTGTTGTCATTATTTAAAATTATATGACATTCATTTTTAAAAAGAAATGCTGTTTTAGCTGAATGCTGTTTCATTGCACTTATGATTAATACATGGTTTTGTTTGTTTTGCTGTTTTTTAGGGAAGATTTAGAAAAAGCTGAGTCAACAGGAAATTGGAAAACAATACACACTTTTTATATAACAGCATTTGATTCCTTCCCAGAATTAAATGCTGCATTTAAGGTAATGAATAATATATGAATTCATTTATAATTTTAAATAAAAAACAAGACTCTATTTTATAGTTAGTATTGACTTAAACAGCATGTGTTCTTTAATTATATGTATTATCGTAGGTTTTTATTGCTGTGAGGAGACTCTTACAAAGAAAACAGTTTCAGTTCATCATAGTGGGGAGCATGGCAGCATGTGGGCAGGCATGGTGCTGGAGAAGTAGCCAAGTGTCCTACATCTTGCAGGCAACAGAAGTCAACTAACTGTCACACTGAGTGAAGCTTGAGAAAAAGACCTCAAAGTCCACCCTAAAGCAGTCTTTATAGAGCCAACTCGAAGACCGCTCCCAGGGTATGCTAAAAACCCACCAGTGCATCAAGCCTAGACTTTTCTGTCTGAGGAATGAACAAGGAAACATACACTTTGTGATGTTAACTTTCTCTTTTACTTCATCTTTTTAAAAAACCTCTCCATTTCCACACAGCAGCATGTCTGTCCATACAGCTCCAGATCACTCTCTCCACTTGTCATACTCTGCTTCCGCTTCCGCACTTTCAGCTACAGCTCCCTTTGAGCACACACCCCTCTCACATTTCTCTCCTACTGCTCCCTCTACACAAAGCTGGGCAGATGTGGGTCACGTTTTCAGGGTCACACAGCACTGCTGGAGTAAACAGGAAGAAACAGCCAAACTGATCACACAGTTTTTCTCAGGCTAGGGAGGTAGGTCATGCTGATCAGGCCTGGTGAGTAAAGTAAGCAGGTAGCTCTGAGCAGTCACAGTTGGTTCCCAGACAGAACGTAACATTGGAAGTCAGGACTTAAACAGTGAACAGTTAGTTGGCTGAACCTTTGGGTTGGGAGTACGTACAAAAAGTTGATTGCTGAGAAAGTTATAACTACTAAAGTTGCCTTGTGCCAGACCTTATATCAACAATAAATACCTGGGAAATTGTCCTGTGAGTTTGTCTCCAGGGGCAGCCAGTTTGCTTTGAATTTGTTCTGAAATCTAAAATTTGCTGTCTTTGTGACTGAGAATACTATTACTTTTCTATGTTAGTTTGAGTAATGAAAAATATTTTAGTATATTTCTATTCATCAGAATTATACAAGTTAAGCAGAAATCACCTTCCTGATTATCCATAGCTATATGTGTGGCCAGCAGATGAAATATTTTCATGAGATAAACATACAAGCAGTGGGAAAAATACCCATAGCTGACACGTGAGAGAAATAACAGACAGAAACAACCAGTCATTCACAATCAGTGACCTCATGGTCTTTGCCAAGTGGGGCTCCCCATCACAGAGTTATTCATCTGGTACGTTGACCTGTTGAATACTAATTGTCACCTGCTGTGTTCTCCCATGGCCTCCAGCACCACTCCCACAATGATACACTTTCAACAGAGTGTGTAGCCCAGATTAAAGGTGTGCCTCCCAGCCTCAAGGTCTGAATTAAAAGTGTGTGTCATTCCCTATGAGTTTATGAGGGCCAAATACATTCAAACTACCATGTGCATCAAAATATTATTTATTTCACTATTATTTATTTCTTTGAATTTTAAAAAACAAAACCTTCCTTATATACTCATTACATTTTAGGGACCATCACACAGCAAGATTAGTTGGGATTATTAAAAAACAAAGTATGGTTCGTATATTATTAAGAATAATTCATGAAATATCAAACATATTTAATTCTCTAATTGAATTTACAGAAAGATGCCACTGCTTCATTTGATACAATTGAGGACTCTGGGGTTAATGCTGATTTGGTGAATGCTGTATTTGATGCCTTACTTAACACTGTAAGTATTGTTTATGGACATATTCCTATAGTATAATTCTATGTCTGTTCTTTAAGGTTTTTTTTTTTAATTGTTTTGATTTTTAATTTATGTATGTTTTGTGAATGCATGCTGTTTGTGTAAGGGTGCTCACAGAAGCCAAAAGAGTACCCTGGACTGTAACTACAGGAAGTTTTAAGCTTCCGGTGAGTGCTGGAGACTGAGCTCGGGTCCTCTGGGAGAGGAACAAGTGTTCTTGACCACTGAGCCATCTCTTCAGCTCCTCCTCTCTTTTAAGTGTAGCCACTTTGTGGCAATTGTAGTAGAAATTCTAGTACAATTTTGTGGTAAATAGAGTTGGAATTTTCAAAAAATTGGGTCATTTGTTTTCTAATTAACTGAGAATGAAACAGAAAATACTTATGATTCCAGTGTGTATTTAGAAAGACTTTCTAAACTCATGTTCCACTTACTTAAGGGAAAGGAAATTACTTATGTGGTTCTCAAAATTTAGTTTTGAGTCACAGGAAGTGCTTAATAATACCATCTCAGACAGTAGATCTTGAGTAGAAATTAAGAATTTTCTTTATTTTGTTAATATTATTAATTATATACTTTTATTTTCAATGGTCAAACAAGCCTTGAAAAGTTGAAATAAATTCTACACAGCCATAGTGTATAATTCTTTTTGTATATTTTTGTCTCAATTTGTGAATATTTTGTTGAGTGTTTCACATCTGTGCTTAAGAGAGATATTGGTCTATACCAGTGGTTCTCAACCTTCCTAATACTGCAACCTTTTAATACAGTTCTTTAATACAGTATTGGAGATAGAAGTTTGTCAAAGGAGTCATGACCCATAGGTTGATAACAATTGGTCTATAGTTTTTGCTTGTTTGTTTGAAGTATTAGGGCAAAAACTTATTTGGCTATTCAATTCCAAAGCTCATCCTTGAAAACATATGTACACATAACATTATATGGACTGAGCAGTTTATACGTGTCTGTGTGTATGAGCGTGTGTTATTATACACATGTAACAATTAGTGAAAAAAGAAACCATGAATTTGAAAGTGAGTTAAGAGGGCTATAGAGGAGGGTTTGAAGTAAGGAAAAGGGAAATAATGTAATTACATTATAATATCAAAAGAAAAATGTAATTTTAAGAGAACATAACTTGGTTGCACTTGATAAATTACCAAGCATAACTTGTTAGGATTAAGTGTATCACAAATAGCCAGGTATAATTGTGCATACTTGTAATCCCAGCACTTAAGAATCTGAGGAAGAGCAAAAGTTCAAGACCAGCCTGGATTGCATACTGAAACCTTTGGCACAAAAAGTAAAGTATATTTGAATCTATGTGTACATATCCAAAATATATGCCAACCATTTTAAATTAATAAACACAATACTGTTGGACTTGGGTTCATGATTTTGTCCTCTCAAGGAAAGAAAAATTAAATTCTCTTTCAGTTACATGAAATTGTTGTTAGTCATCAAAGGATCAGCATATATATTTCTGCAGATTGTGCTCTGCTTATCCCACAGAGCAGCCTCATAATAATCTTTGTCATTAATGCTTCCTGGAATTCTCAAGTGTGAAATAGATTCTGCTCTTGGAAACATTCTACAGTCATTAACTCTGTTTATGATTATTCAAATACATCTGTAAGTAAAATTAATGTCAAAAAAATCACAAAATGTTCTAACCATTATTATTATTTTCTTTTGCCTCCAGCCTCAAGATATTCAAAAGTCAGTATTGAAGGGAATCATTAACAGCCTGTTACGAGAATGGAAAGGGTAATTATAACTTGTATTTAATCTGTATAGATGACTTAGATATCTATCTTGTGTATCCTTAATATATGTGAATATGTTTCACTCTTAGGAAAATATCTTAGATGAGCTTTAATATTGGCATGTATGAGAAAAGATCATAGAATACATGAAACAAAGCTGTTTAATTTGCTGAGATTTGTGATTTGTTATCAGTGAATAAGCATAAGGAAATGAATGAATCTTTCAAAGTTGTATGTAAATATTTTTGTGTACAGATATATTGCTATGCAGATATTGGATGAGTACTAATCAGTTCCCTTAGGCTTCTTGGTAGTAAATTTTCTCAAAAAATAAGTTACTAGCCTTAAAGAAAACTCCTGTTACTCAGAAGAAAACTCAGATAAGCACCTCAGGCCAAACTGAGCCTTGGCTCCTTCCTGAGCATGCCAACAGAAACATCATCAGGAAGATGATAAGAAGACAAGCTCATAGATACTTTCTGTTGCCTGTGCTAATAACCCATGTAAACATAAGTGACACTGCTAGTTTGATGAAGTCCAAGTGGAGTGGAAAAGACTGGAGACAAACGCAATAGATAAAAACCCAAATCCTAAGCATACACCAGTCACGCATCAGATTTTCTTCTTTTGCAAAACATTTTTTATTTAACTTTTTTCATTTTACATACTAGCCCCAGTTCCTCTCCCTTGCCTTCTCCCACCCCCTGCCTCATCCCCCATACCAATCCACTCCTTCAAGGGAGTAAGGCTTCTGTTGGGGAGTCTGTTGGGGAGTCTGGTATACCAAGTTGAGGCAGGACCAAGCCCCTCCCCCCTATATCAAGGTTGAACAAGGTATCCCACCATAGGGAATGGGCTCAAAAAATCTCATTCATGTACCCAGGATGAGTCCTGGTCCCACTGCCAGCCCCCCCCCCAGATCAACCCACATAATTATCACCCATATTTAAAGGGCTTAGTTTGGTCCCATGAAGGATTCCCAGCTGTCAGTCAGAGTCCATGAGCTCTCACTAGTTCATGTCAGCTGTCTCTGTGGTTTTCTCCATCGTGATCTTGACCTTCCCTTGCTGATATGATCCCTCCTCCCTCTCTTCAAGTAAGCTCCAGGACCTCAGCCCAATGCTTGTCTGTGGATCACTGCATCTGCTTCCATTAGTTACTGGATATAGGTTCTATGATGACAATTAGGGTAGTCACTAATCTGATTATAGGGGAAGGCCAGTTCAGGCACACTTTCCATTATTGCTAGGAGTCTTAGCTGGAGTCATCCTTGAGGATTTATGGGGGCTTCCCTAGCACCTGGTTTCTCCTTAACTCCATAATGACTCCCTCTATCAATATATCTCTTTCATTGTTCCCCCTCTCCATCCCTCGCCCAATTCAAGGTGAGCCCCTAATGTTCCCATCTCCTCCCTTCTACTCCCCTTCCCAGTTTGTCCAGGAGATCTTAATTATTTGCCTTTCCTGGGGCCCTCTGTGTGTGTCCTTCTTGGGGTCCTGCTTTTTACCTAGCATGTCTGGGGTTGTGGATCATAGCGTGGTTATCCTTTGCTTTACGTCTTATATCCACTTATAAATGAGTACATACTGTGTTCATTTTTCTGGCTCTGGGTTACCTCACTCAGGGTGGTTTTTTTCTAGTTCCATTCATTTGCCTGCAGGTTTCAAGATGTCATTGTTTTCTACCTCTAGGTAATACTCCATTGTGTAAATGTACCACATTTTCTTTATTCATTCTTCAGTTGAGGGGCATCTAGGTTGTTTCTGCGTTCTGGCTATTAACAAATAATGCTGCTATGAAAATAGTTGAACAAATATCTTTTGTGGTATGATTGTGAATCCTTTGGGTATGTGCCCAAGAGTGGTATTGCTGGGTCTTAAGGTAGATTGATTCCCAATTTTCTGAAAAACTTCCATACTAATTACCAAAATGGCTGTACAAGTTTGCACTCCCACCAGCAGTGGAGGAGTGTTCCCCTTATTCCACATCATCTCCAACATAAACTGTCCTCAGAGTTTTTGATCTTAGCCATTCGGACAAGTGTAAGATGGTATTTCAGAGTTGTTTTGAGTTGCATTTCCATGATGGTTAAGAATGTTGAGCAGTTCCTTAAATGTCTTTTGGCCATTTGAGTTTCTTCTGTTGAGAATTCTCTGTTTTGATCTGTACCTCATTTTTAAGTTATATTATTTGGTATTTTGGTGTTTAGTTTCTTGAGTTATTTAAATATTTTGGAAATCAGCCCTCTAAGATGTTGGATTGGTGAAGATCTTTGCCCATTTTGTAGGCTGCCATGTTGTCTTGTTGAACATGTTCTTTGCTTTACAGAAGCTTCTCAGTTTCATTTATTAATTGTTGTTCTTGGTGTCTGTGCTACTGGTGTTGTATTTAAGAAGTGGTCTACTGTGTCCATGTATTCAAGTCAACTTTCCACTTTCTCTTCTGTCAGGTTCAGTGTAACTGGATTTATGTGAAGGTTTTTTATCTATTTTGACTTGAGTTTTGTGCATGAGAATAGATATGGATATATTTGCATTCTTCTACATGTTGACATCCAGTTATACCACCACCATTTGTTGACAGTGCTTTCTTTTTTCCATTGTATACTTTTGGCATCTTTGTCAAAACTCAGGTGTTCATAGGCTTGTGGAATAACATCAAGATCCTCAATTTGATTTCATTTATCCATGTGTTTGTTTTTATGCCAATACCGAGTTGTTTTAATTACCATAGCTCTATAGTAAAGCTTAAAGTCAAGGATGGTGATGCCTCTAGAAGTTCCTTTATTGTACAGGATTGTTTTGGTTATCCTGGGTTTTTTGTTTTTCCATATGAATTTGAGTAATGTTCTTTTGAGGTTGGGATTTTGATGGGGATTGTATTGAATCTGTAGATCGCTTTTGATAAGATTGCTATTTTTACTCTGTTGATCTTGCCTATTTAAGAGCATGTGAGATATTTCCGTTTTCTGGTATCTTCTTCAATTTCTTTCTTTAAATACTTAAAGTTTTTGTCATACAGTCTTTCACCCATTTGGTTAGAATTACCCCAAGATATTTTATGTTATTTATGGCTGTGGTAAGGGGTGATGTTTCTCTGATTTCTTTTTCAGCCTATTTATCATCTGTATATAGGAGAGCTACTGATTTTTTTTTCTTAGTTAATCATGTATCCTGACACATAACTGAAGGTGTTTTTCAGCTATAGGAGTTCCCTGGTAGAGTTTTTGGGGTCATTTATGTAAACTATCATATCACCTGCAAGTAGTGAAAGTTTGACATCTTCCTTTCCAGTTTTTATCCCCTTGATCTCATTTTGTTGTCTTAATGCTCTAGCTAGAACTTCCAGTACTATATTGAATAGATATGGAGAGAATGGACGGCCTTGTCTTTTTCCTGATTTTAGTGGAATTACTTTGAGTTTCTCTCCATTTAGTTTGATGTTGGCAATTGACTTACTGTATATTGTCTTTATTATGTTTAGGTAGGTTCCTTATATCCCTAATCTCTCCAAGACTTTTATCATGAAGGGGTGTTGGATTTTGTCAAAAGTTTTTTCAGCATGTAGTGAGATAATCATGTGGGGTTTTTTTCTTTGAGTTATTTATATAATGGATTACCTTGACCAATTTTCCTATGTTTGTACCATCTCTGCATCTCTGGGATGAAGCCTACTTGATCATGGTGGATGATTTTTTGATGTGTTCTTGCATTCAGTTTGATACTATTTTATTGAGTATTTTTTTGCATCAATGTTCATCAGGGAGATTGATCTACAATTATCTTTTTAGTTTTGTCTTTGTGTGGTTTGGTTATCAGGGTAACTGTGGCCTCATAAAAAGAGTTTGGTGTGAAACAATTTGAGAAGTATTAGATCTTCTTTAAATTCTGGTGAATTCTGAGCTGAAAACATCTGACCCTGAGCTCTTTTTTTTTTTTTTTTTTTTTTTTTTTTTTTTGATAGAGAGATTTTTGATAACTGCTATTTTATTAGGGATTATAGGTCTAATTAAAATCTTTACCTGTTAGTGATTTATCTATCCAGAAAATTGTCCATTTCTTTTACATTTTCCAATGTTGTGGAGCTTTCAAAGTATGACCTAATGATTCTTTGGATTTCCTCAGTGACTATTTACTATATGGCCCTTTTCATTTCTGATTTTATTAATTTGGTTATTCTTTCTCTGTCTTTCAGTTAGTTTGAATAAGTGTTTGTCTATCTTGTCATTTTCTTGAAGAATCAACTCTTTATTTCATTGATTCTTTGTAATTTTTTTTTTGTTTCTATTTTATTGATTTCAGTCCTCGATTTTATTTTCTGGTGTCTACTCCTTCCTGGTGAGTTTGCTTCTTTTTGTTCTAGAACTTTCAAGTGTGCTATTACATCAATAGTGTGAGCTTTCTCCACATTCATTATGTAGGCATTTAGTGCTATGAACTTTCCTTGTAGTACTGCTTTCATAGTGTCCCATAAATTTGGGTATACTGTGCTTTCATTTTCATTGAATTCTAGGAACTCTTTAATTTCTTTATTTCTTCCTTGACCCATTGATGATTCAGTTGAGCATTGTTCAATTTCCATGATTTTGTAGGCTTTCTACAATTAGTGTTGTTGTTGAATTCTAACTTTAAGCCCATGGTGATCTTCTAAGATACAGGGGTTATTCCAATTTTTTTGTATCTGCTGAGGTTTGCTTTGCTACCATGTAAGTGGTCGATATGTTAAGTACATTCGAGTCATAACATCTGTTAGTTCCCTTGTTAAGTTTCTGTCTGGCTGACATGTTCATTGGTGAGTAGGATGTTGAAGTCTCCCACTATTAGTGTATAAGGATTAATGTGTGGTTTAAACTTCAGTAATGTTTCTTTTACAAATATGTGTGCCCTTGTATTTTGGAGCATAGATGTTCAGAATTGAGATTTAATCTTGTTGGATTTCTTCCTGTGGTAAATATGAAATGACATTCTCCATCTCTTTTGATTAATTTTAGTTTGATGTCT